TTGTGAGGACATGCAGAGTGAGCAGGGGCAGGAGAGAGAGGGAAAAGGGGGAGATGTACAAAGTGACAAGAAAGATCTGTAGGAGCCTTAAAGTTCCCAGAAAGTAGGATAGAGAAGTAATCAGAAATATATCAGTGAGGGAGGGCTGGGGATCTGGTTCAATGGTAGAGCGCATACTTAGCACTTGGAGTGGGGACACACACACATACACACAAACACAACACGATGACACACTCTTGTTGGTGAAGAACAGGACACGCAGGAAGGACAGTTTGAAATCAATCCAGATGCATGAATCTGTTAAGGCAAGACATCTCCAGCACTACAAAAGCAACAAAAAACAAAGGAGAAAGAGACTCCTTCATTAGTTACTCCCTTCATTAGGACTAACATTGCTTGCCTAGTTCTTTTTTTTTCTTTCTTTCTGATCTTCATTCCTCCCAATTTCTGCCTCCTGAGTAGCTAGGATTACAGGCATGAGCCACCAGCACCCAAGCTGCTTGCTCAGTCCTTGACTTATGGTGCATCGACCTCTCAGGCAAAGATTAGGTTCCAGGCAATCTGTAAAAGGAAACTTATCTATGCTAACATTGAATGTTGTATTTCTAGGCATTGTTGACCTTGCAAGCAAGGAGAAATTAATCTCAAAGCCTTTCTCACAGCATATAGCTGCCAGTGCAACACAGAAGACATTCCAGTTTCAATTCTCGTCCCTGCCTTTACCAACAGGTTTTCTGTGTGTGTGTATGTGTGTGTTTGCAGTACTAAAATTTGAACTCAGGGTCAGGGCTTCTCACTTGCTAGACAGGCGCTTTACTGCTTGAGCCATGCTTCCAGCCCTATCAACAGATTTTAAGCAAGTTGTTCAATTTTTTTTTTTGGTGGGGGGGCATGTGGTTGGTGGTGTTGGTACTGGCAATCAAACATCAAACCCAGGGCCTTGTACATGCTAAGCGAACATTCTACCACTGAATTACATCCTCAGTCCATGCTTAAGGTTTTTTTTTTTTTGATACTGGGGTTTGAGTTCAAGGTGTACACCTTGAGCCGCTCCACCAGCCTTTTTTTGTGATAAGTTTTTTCGAGATAAAGTCTCGTGAATTATTTGCCCAGGCTGGCTTTGAACCTCCATCCTCATGATCTCTGTCTCCTGAGTAGCTAGGATTAAAGCCACTGGTGTCCAGCATGCTCAAGTTTTTGCTAACTATGACATAAAGATAACTGTCCTCATATGGAAGGTGAGTTTCACATGAGATCATCTCTATTAACATGCCAGGTACTTAGTTGGACCTCCACACTACTTCCCTTTATCCAGAACAGCCTGCCTTTGGTCTTTGTGTGAGCTCTTGGTGTGCAGACTCCCACAATCTTCTCCAGACTTCTCTGTAGTGAGCAGTCTTCCTTCAAAAGGAACCCTGCTTCTCCTGGTGCCCAGTGTGGATCCAGGAATTTATCCAGAAGGGAGCAAGGGCTCTGCTCTCACACTCAGTCCTGACTATTTTCTCCAAGATGTTTCTCTGCCAGGATCACAAGGGTCCTTGACACAAATGAACCTAAGGAAGGAATAGACACGAGACACAAGAAAGAACTCACTCACTCAGGAAGGGAATGACGAGACACATGACCAGAAGGCTGGTGACCTAACGGGTAAATTTTTATTTTTGCATTGGCTTTTTAAGCAGCACAAAGTAGGAAGTTACACAATGCAAGGAGAGTTTTTATGCCTTGGAAATAACACCCTCCACCTGAAAAACAATGTTCTTGCTCCAGTCTCCTAGGTTACACAAGCGAAACTCGGACTCTCCTAGTTTCAATGACTATACCCAAACCTCCCTGTTTTCATCTGGCTTCGCCTGGTTTCACATACATAAATCTCGGGCCTGGTTGTGAAGGGCATGTGCCCTGTTCCTGACCTTTCATAAACAAATACCTTCAGGTTAATGTTTCTTTTCTCCAGACAAAGGGAGTCACTCCATGTTCCCTCAAAACCTCATTGAGAGATATGGGGCACTTGCAGTCTCCGACTTTGTCAGGATCCTGCTAAGCTGCAATGACCGTGTCAGATCGAGGCTAATGGCTCCCAACATTTCTCTACAGTCAAAGAGCCTCTAACTCTGCCTGATGCTTAGGTCCTACTTTATTGGCTCCCACCAGGGTGTCTGACAGCAAGCCTGGACAGACAGGGCCTGTACAGCCTGAGCCCAGAAGAGTTAGCCTGAGGCTGCACCTTCAGTGCCTCCTGCTTTCCCAAGGCCTGGATGTGGGCAGAGGGCCCTGCACCATATCCCCTCAGTGTTTAATCACCCTTTGTTCCTATTCCATCCTTAGCATCTTCTCCTTGCTCAGTTGACAGCACAACTGTACACTTAGGTAAGCTGAATGCAGAGACATGATTCCTTCCTTGCATCCTTCCAGCTGAAATGCTCTGCTATCCGTTTGCCTTTTTATTCCCTTGGCAGCCCAAGTGTACAGTCATGCTTCTCCAAATGGAACTATGTGCATGTAGCTTGTGCGCACACAGCATTAGCAGAGTGTTCAGCTCAGCCTGCAAGTGGACACACTGCACACTTCCTAAAGCACAGGAAGGCCATTCACTTCTGTAGACTTACATAGAAGTTCCCCACTGCACAGGAGGAAGCCCTCCACTATCTGGTCCCAACTCACCCTTTCAATCCTTCAGTTTTACCATAAGTGCCTTGTGCTACATCAGAAAATATATTCGTCACACCTAGAGATTTCCAGAGTTCCTGGTTGTGCCTGACCATGGAGTTTAGCTGGTTATTTGACAAATGTATATTAAGCAACACTGTTCTCCCTAAATCCCACTCTGTCACAGACCAAACTTACTTCACACTTGATGAATCAGTGTGAAAATTCATTAAGAAAGGATTCTGTCATTATTCATCTTGAGATTCTGTTAGCGCCCACATTTAGTTAAATTAACAGCTTGCTTATCTCTTAAATCAGAGTAAAATCAATGAGGGTTTTTTGGGGGGATTTTTTCTTTTTTTGTTTAAACTTTGTGTCTTTTTTTTTTTTTTTTGGAGGCACTGGGGTTTGAATACAGGGCCTCACGCTTAGTAGGCAGGCATTCCACCAGCTGTTTTTGTTCTTGGGTGTTGGGATCTATGTTACCCTCACTGGGAGATGGCACACAAAAAAGGAGGGGGACTGATGGGGATTGCAGAGTCCATCAGCAATTTTCTGTGCCTTTCACATACAATTTCTCTTTTTTTTATTTCAGTACTGTGATTTTGAACTCAGGGCTTACCCTTGCTAGGCAGGTGCTCTACCACTTGAGCCCTCACCCTTTTTTTTTTTTTTTTTTGCTTTGGATATTTTTGAGATAGGGTCTGGCTATTTGCCCAGGTGGGCCTTGAACCTCAAACCTCCTGATCTGTCTCCTGCATAGCTAGGATTACAAGTGTGAGCCAGTGGTGTCTGGCACATTTTTTTTTTCACATACATTTTTGTACCATTTGGTTAATTTATTTACTAGACTGTAAATTCCAGAGCATAATTCATGACGTATTTCTGTATCTTTGCCTCTCTTAACTGCCTACCACTATCTTTTGAACACTGAACAAATGCTATGTAAAAATAACTGAGATTATGCAGAAGATTGACAAAAGAGACCAAGAGCTCAGGTCCTTAGTTAGCAAGCAAATTAAGAGAGTGTAAAGGAAGGAGGCCTAGTTCTGTGGTGTGAATAAAGGCCCTGGTCAGCAGCATGTTTAAATCTTGGTTCTTCCTCCTTGCTAGCAGTATGATCCTGGTAGCTCCTAGAAACCCTCTGAGATTGTTTCTGTAAAATGGAGCGATAACCCATCATTCACAAAATGGTAGCAAAGAGTAAATAAGATGAAATGTATAATGTTTTCCACTTGGTGTTGGCCCTCAGGATATGGTAATGTTAATTTTCAGCCAAAAAGGCAACAAGGAAGTGAACCATTATCTAAGAGAAGACTCCTCTGAGAAAGCCACAAAAAAGAACCCAGGGTTATCTCAGTTCCAGACTGGCCAGCGGGACTTGGTTGTTCACACCTTTCCTCCTTCAGAGATAGGCTAAGTTGTAGGGCACAGGTCACTGGCCTAGCTGCATTTTGTTCCCCCTGGCTCTATTTTTGCCTCTTCAATTTTTTCCCTCCTAAGTCTCTGTCTTGTGCAGTCTCTTTTTTTTTACAGTAAGGGCAGGATTGATCAATAAACATCTTTATGATGCGGGAACGAAACTACACCCCCTCCCTCCAAGCAACAGGGAGCCTTGTAGAACAGACTAGTGCCCCAATGAAGGCAATTAGCTATAATGATGAGGCTGCACCCTGGAGAAGGACTAATCATCTCATGGGAACCAGACTGCTCTCCTTAAGTAATGACAGCCACAACTTCTCTAGAACCCCGGCTGAACCGGAACCAAGATAATGATCCATCAGACCCTGGCCTGGCAAGATTATCTGCTCTGTTAGCTGTGCATAATTCAAATTCCTCCTTTGTCTCCCTTTCTATAAAACCTCAAAATTCCTGTAATCCTCTTGAAGATGGCCTAGGGGGGTCACTGAACCCCTTTATCTGTCTTACCAATGCCCGCTGCCTTCCATTAAATCTCCTTTCAGGGCTATTCACCATTACTCGTCTCTTTAAATGGGACGAGTGGTCGAAACTAGTCCGTTTGGGACTCCCGGATCCCGAGGCCTTTCGCCTTAAAAACTGGTTATAAGTCTGCAAGAGAACAGCGAAAAGCAGCGAGAGAGCCTCTTACTGATCCCAGATACAGGCAACCCGATTCAGAACTCACTGCAGTCCGGCAACACTAATGGTCCAGCCTCTTGCCCTTACGCATCCGTTGGCTTCGTTCAAACAGGCCGCCTTAGCCAACATCCAATCAGAACGTTCGATGTTCAGCTTCCACCCAATGAATGAGTGTAATAGAAGGGGGAAAAAAGGGGGCGTGAAGCCAACTCGCTGCGCCATTACACTTTAGGGCAAAGAGGTTAGGAAGCCGGCATGGCGCTCCGGTCAATAAAATCGATAGCTGGAAGCTGCCCGTATTCCAGGCAAAGGCGGTGCAGTAGAAGAGCCGCCATTTTCCCCGAAGGCATCTTCCGGTGCCTTTCACCCAAGTTCGGGCAGGAGTTTCCTGAATAACAGCGAGAGGTTTCCCTTAGCCCCGCAGGCGGCCGATTCTGATTCCCTTCGGCCTTCCCTGCTAGGCTCAGCCCTGGTCCGGCGACGGCTCCTAAATCCCTGGGTCCGCCCACGCCCAGGGTCCGAGGCCGGGAAGGGAAAGGCCGTGGGGCAAGCTTCTCAGGTCCAATGGCGCCTCCTTCTGCTCCGCTCTCTCCGCGGGGGCTAGGAGAGGCCCGACTTAATCCGAGGCCGGGAAGGAGGTCAAGGGCTTTGAAGTTCGCGGACGTGGCCGTGTACTTCTCCCCGGAGGAGTGGGGGAGTCTGCGGCCCGCGCAGAGGGCTCTGTACCGGGACGTGATGCGCGAGACCTACGGCCTCCTGGGCGCGCTCGGTGAGGAGCGGCCCAATCCGCTTCCTCAGGGCCTGAGGGGATGAAGGCGCTTGAGGGCGGGGGTGGAGGAGGGCAGGGAGGCCTGGTCCCTGGCCTGCGACCAGGTAGTTAGGGGAGGGGCAGGGGCGCGGCTGGAGTAGCTGTCGGGTGAGTGTTCACCCACCAAGATCTAGAGGCTCTTCCTCTGACCGGTTCTCCTTCCCCAGGTTGCGCAGGTCCCAAGCCATCCCTCATCTCCTGGTTGGAGCGAAATACCGAGGATTGGGAACCGGCTGCCCTAGATCCGCAGGAGTACCGGAGAGGGGTAACAGTCCAGAGAAGTGAGTGAAAAATGCCCATGGAGAGCGTGCAGCCCTCTTGTAACGTTCTAACGAGTGACTCGGGCCAGAGTCTGGTCTGGCCAGGGGTACACATGCCCCGTGGTGTGTCTACATGTACTGTGTTCGTTTTCAGTCTCAGGGTCTTCTTTCTGATGGTGTGGGGTTGACCCACCGCACAAACAAAAATTACCCTGTCAGGAACTAGAGAAAAGGTGAGATCAAAAAGAATTAACCTAGAAGGTAACACCCACGCACAAGAAATCAATGTGAGTCAACTGCCTGTATAGCTATCCTTATCTCAACCAGCAAAAACCCTTGTTCCTTCCTATTATTGCTTATACTCTCTCTACAACAAAATTAGAAATAAGGGCAAAATAGTTTCTGCTGGGTATTGAGGGGGTCGGGGGGGGGGAGAGGGAGGGGGGCGGAGTGGGTGGTAAGGGAGGGGATGGGGGCAGGGGGGTGAAATGACCCAAGCCTTGTATGCACATATGAATAATAAAAAAAAAAGAAAGAAAAATTATATTTTACTTAAAAAAAAAATTACCCTGTCAATTTGCAAAGTAACCACTGCAGTACTCCATGGTGTAAATGAATCAATTAACTTTTCTTTTTTTTTTTGTGGTACTGGGGTTTGAACTCGGCTTCCTAGGCAGGCACTCTACAGCTTAAATTACTCCGCCAGCCTCAATGAGCTTTTAAAAAGAGCTACTCTCCACCCCCTCCACCCCACCTCAGGATCCCTGTCCCAGCCTCCTTTGAATTTGGCCCTGGTTGTGAGATCCTAAATTTCTGAATTTCGAAGTTTGGGCGTTCATGAGGGAACACTGGATGTAGCAGCCTCCTGTTCTTACGGTAGTGTGACCCTAAGTAGTGAAAGAAATACTTTTTCCTCAGGATCAAACAAGGCTCTGGTTAAGGCCCCAGATTCATGCACAAGAGGAGATGAAAGTGCCTGGGTTGCAGTTCTCACCAGCAAGATTCTCTAAAGTCAGGGATATCTGTCACTAAGGTTCAGGTCTAATTGTGGTATTTCCTTGCTTTAGAACTCAAGTTGAGGGCAGGTGGAGTGGCTCAAGTGGTAAAGTGCTTGCCTAGGAAGTGTTGAGGTCCTGAATTCAAACCCTAGTGCACCAAGAAAAAAAAAAAAACCCAAATCAGTTGATTTTTTTGGCAAGATTGTCAAATGGCTGTCATTTATGTCTAAATCATTTGGGGAACTTGGTAAAAGTACAGAAACTGGGGCCACATCTCAGAAGTACTGACTCATTCTAGCGGATATCTAAGAATGTGTATTTTTTGGCTTCGATGTGCGTTTAGGTTTGTGAACCATCAGATAAAACATAGCTGCAAGTCTTTTTTGTGTGTGTGTGGTATTGGGATTTGAACTTAGGGCCTACACATTGAGCCACTCCACCAGTCCTTTTCTGCAATGGGTTTTTCTGAGATAGGGTTTTGCAAAATATTTGCCTGTGCTTTCCTGAGTAGTTAGGATTTCCAGCACCAGCATTGTCAAGGTCTTAACAATGTTTACAGCAGTGGTTCTCAAACGGTGGTCCAAACCAGCAGCAGCATTACTTGGTACCATCTTAGAAATGCAAATTCTTGGCCCCTATGCTAGACCTGAATCTGAAACTGGCATTAGAACCCAGCAATTGTTTCAGTGAGTCCTCCAAATGATTCTAATCATGGTAAAGTTTGAGAACGATTAGCTTAGATATTCTTATGATCCAGTCACTGCTAGCTCACTTGTTTCTCATTTTTGTTTTTTCCAGTGGTACTAGGTTTTGAACTTAGGTCTTTGTGCTTGCTAGGCAAGCACTCTACCACTTGAACCTCACTGGTTTCTACTTCTGCCTTACACATTTTTTCTAAAATCTTACAGCCTAAGCACACTGACACATGGAACTTTGGGACTTCTCTTTGTGGTGCTGGGGATGTAGGGCCTTGTGCATGCTAGGCAAGTGCTCAACCACTGAGCTATAATCCCTCATGCTAACTTAGCTGATTCTTTTTAGTTTTTGAGACATGGTCTCACTTTGTAGCCCATGCTGGCTTCCAACTCTGGATCCTTCTGCCCTCAGCCTCCCAAGTGCTGGAATTACAGATGTGCATCACTATGCTCAGCTCCCATATCAGGCTTTCTAATACTCCACTATGTTAATTCATTTTTTAAAAAATTAGCTAGGCTACATAGTGAGACCCTGTTTCAAAAGAAAAGAAAAGGAGAAAGGGAAGGGGGAAGGAGAAGAAAAAAGAAATGAAATTGGTGGTTGCATAGGAAAAAAAGACCCTCCAGGTAGCAGATCTGTAATCCTAGCTATGTGGGCAGTGAAAGTAGGAGGATCTGGTCTGAGTCTGGCTGGGAAAAAGTGTGAGACCCTATCTGAAAAACAAACTAAAGCAAAAAACATTGGTGGTATGGCCTACTTTGTAAGTGTGAAGCCCTGTGTTCAAACTCCAGTTCCACCAAAAACTAAAAAAAAAGCTGGTAGAAATGGAGTGGCTCAATTGCTAGAGTGCCCACCTGCCTAGTAAGTGTGATGTCCTGAGTTCAAACACCAGTACCGCAGGAAAAAAAAAATGGTAGAGCAGTTAAGCTCAGGGCCCTGAGTTCAAATGTCAGTGCTGTCCTCTAACCTCCCCCTCCAAAAAACTAATCAGTTAAGTCAGGCTGGGGTTGAAGTTCTATGGTAGAGTGCTTGCCTAGCATGCAGTGAGGTCCTGGGTTCAATCCTCAGCACCAGGGGAAAAAAAATCAGCTAAGTTAAATAAACTATGGTTTATCTACAATGGAATTTTTTTGGCAGTACTAGGGGGTTGAACTTTGGGCCTCTTGCTTGCTGTACCACTTGAGTCATGCCCTTGGCCCTTTTTGATGTAGGTATATTTTATATAGGGTCTCATTTTATGCCCAGCAGGCTTGGATCTCCATTCTTCTACATAAGCCTCTGGCTTAGCTGGGATGACAGGTGCACCACATCCAGCTTTTATTGGTTGAGATAGGGTCTTGAACTTTTTGCCTAGGCAGTCCTTGTACCTCCAGCCTCCTGATCTCTGCCTCCTGAGTAGCTAAGATTACACCAGGTTTGAGCCACCACACCTGGAAAGAAATCTTACGCAACTGTAAAATAGAATAAGCACATGTGCTAACATAAAAAGATCCTTAGACTATATTAAGTGGAGGCTGTGGTTGGTGTCTCAAGTCTGTAATTCCAGTTACTGGGAAATTGGGAAGATGGAGTTCAAGGCCAGCCCAGGCAAAAAGTTAGCAAGAGCCCCATCTCAACTAATAAGCCAGGCATGGTGGCACACGTTTCTCATCACAGCTATAGGAGCATAAAATAGGATGATTTCGGTCTGAGGCCACCCTGGCAAAAAGAGACCTACTTGAAAAATAAAGTAAGGAAGGGCAAGGGGCATGGCTCAAGTGGTAAAGCGCCTGCCTAGCAAGCAGGAGCCCTTGAGTTCAAATCCCAGTACTAACAAAAAATAAATTAAAAAGTAGAAAAATGAAGTTGGAGTCAAGTACATGTAAAATGTGTATATATTATTATCTACGTAAGAAAGAAAGTATATTTTTATTACATCAAAGACCATGGAAGAGCTGGGCACCAGTGACTTGTGCCTGTAATGCTAGCTACTCAGGAGGCAGTGATAAGGAGGATTGAAGTTTGAAGCCAGCCCGGGCAAATAATTTAGCGAGACACTATCTTGAAAAGACCCTTCACAAAAAAGGGTTGGTGGAGTGGCTCAAAGTGAGTTCAGGCCCCAGTACCAAGAGGAAAAAAAAAAAAAAACATGGAAGAAACTAATTAACATGGCTTCTACAGGTAGATGAGGACAAGGGTTGGGAGTAAGATTTCTTTGTGCTTCTTTGTGTTCTGTTACTGCCTTTTCATAAACATGAGATACAGGGGTGGTGAAGTGGTTCAAGTGGTATCGTGCCTGCCTAGCAAGCACAAGGAAGGCCCTGAGTTCAAAACCCAGTACTGCCAAAAAAAAAAAAAAACCCACCAAGTTTTAAAAGTCAGTTTAATCACTTAGAAATCTTCCCTAACTCTCCTAGCAGGTTTAGGGACTCCTGAAGTACACTCCACATTTCTCTAATAGTACGTCACTCTTAGCTGTCTCTGGCCTTTGTATTGGTTTTATAATCTGTAACATTGTAACAGCAACAATTGGAGCTTGGTGTTTGCTTTTTGTTGGGACTGGGGTTTGAACTCAGGGCTTCGTGCTTGCAAAGCAGGCACTCTGCCACTTGAGCCACATCTCCAGCCTGAGCCTAGTATTCGTTAAATTAATTTATTTCTGTGTCCCTGTAGAAACAAGAACCAGAAAGAAGAATGGGGAAAAGGAAGTATTCCCACCTAAGGAGGCACCCCGAAAAGGGAAGCGAGGGCGAAGGCCTAGCAAACCCCGACTGATCCCCAGGCAGACGTCTGGGGGCCCCATCTGCCCTGACTGTGGCTGCACCTTTCCTGATCATCCGGCCCTGGAGAGCCACAAGTGTGCCCAGAATCTGAAAAAGCCTTATCCTTGTCCCGACTGTGGGCGCCGCTTTTCCTACCCGTCCCTGTTGGTTAGTCATCGGCGGGCGCACTCTGGTGAGTGCCCGTATGTTTGTGACCAGTGTGGCAAACGTTTCTCCCAGCGGAAGAACCTCTCTCAGCACCAGGTCATCCACACAGGCGAGAAGCCTTACCACTGCCCTGACTGTGGCCGCTGCTTCCGCAGGAGCCGGTCCTTGGCCAATCACAGGACCACACACACTGGCGAGAAGCCGCACCAGTGCCCTAGCTGCGGGCGTCGCTTCGCCTACCCGTCCCTGCTGGCCATCCACCAGCGCACGCACACAGGAGAGAAGCCCTACACCTGCCTGGAATGCAACCGCCGCTTTCGCCAGCGCACAGCCCTGGTCATCCACCAGCGCATCCACACAGGCGAGAAGCCCTACCCGTGTCCGGACTGCGAGCGGCGCTTCTCCTCGTCCTCCCGCCTCGTCAGCCACCGCCGTGTGCACTCGGGAGAGCGGCCCTACGCCTGCGAGCACTGTGAGGCCCGCTTCTCCCAGCGCAGCACGTTGCTGCAGCACCAGCTCTTGCACACTGGGGAGAAGCCCTACCCCTGCCCCGACTGCGGCCGCGCCTTCAGGCGGAGCGGCTCCCTTGCCATACACCGCAGCACGCACACGGAGGAGAAGCTGCACGCCTGTGAAGACTGCGGCCGCCGCTTTGCCTACCCCTCGCTGCTGGCCAGTCACCGGCGCGTGCACTCGGGCGAGCGGCCTTATGCCTGTGACCTTTGCTCCAAGCGCTTTGCCCAGTGGAGCCACTTGGCTCAGCACCAGCTTCTGCACACCGGAGAGAAGCCTTTTCCCTGCCTTGAGTGTGGGCGATGCTTCCGCCAGAGGTGGTCTCTGGCCGTCCACAAGTGTAGTCCTAAGACCCAAAACTGTAGCCCTAGAGCTGCTATAGGAGGGCCCAGCCAGAGGAACAGCACCCTTTAGAATGTGAAAGCCTGGCTATGTTCACTTCATTTCCTGGAGAGATCCAGGAAAGGGAAGGCGGAGCCCTAGTCACATAGGGCAGGGTCAAAACTAAAACCCAGCCCTCCTGCTCCACACGCCTGAGCGTCAGTGTATTCCACACACCGGCTGCCTTACAGAGCGTGTCTAGAACAGTCGCCTTATGACAGGGGACTGATCATTTGGTTCAAATTTCTGAAATAATTTGTGTGTGTGGATACCAGGGCTAAAAGTTCTCCCATCTAATTTAGGGGCTGCTTTTCTAATTTGTGCATACGGGGATTATCGTCCCCTTGCATGCAGTCAGGAAAATCTCATTTGTAGGCGGCTCTCTCTCATACCGGTCTGAAAAAGCCTGGTTTAGTTAGCCCCCTTTTACAACACTCCTGCCAGTGATCTACTGCTTCTTTGAAAACCTCCCTTGACAGGGAACCCACTACCTCACAAGGCAGGCCATTGCATTGTGGGATAGTGCTGATGTTTAGGAGGTTAAGTTCCACATTCTCTATAAACATGGCCTAAATGTGTTTAATACTTTATGTACATGGCAGCTCTTTCAGATGACTTAATCACAACTACTTTGCCCCTAAGTTTCCAGGTTACATTGCACTAAAATTAGGTTTTTGTTATATCTGTTTTTCAAGATGGAGTCTCACTGTATTGCCTAGGATGGTCTCCAACCTCATGGGCTCAGGCTATCCTCCTGCCTCAGCCTCCTGAGTAGCTGGGACTACAGGTCTGTGCCGCTAACCAAACTCTCTGGTCAGGCATTCTTTAAAGACAGTTTCAGGGCTGGAGGCATGGCTCAATTGGTAGAGTAACTGCTTAGGAAGTGCAGGGTCCTGAGTTCAAACCCCAGTACTGCAAAGAGGCAAAGTTTGAATTTCCCCATGTGTCTCTCTCCAAATAGACCCTTTTATTTTATATATATATAAAATATAAATATATATATATACTATATATATAATAAATATATATTATATATTTATATATATATATAATTTTTTTTAGCGGTACTGGGGCTTGAACTCAGGGCCTCATGCTTGCTAGGCAGATCCTATACCATTTGAACAGCCGAAGCCTGCTGTGATAATCCTTTCCTGTGCTTACCCCATCTGACTTCGAACCAAGATCCTCTTGATCTCTGCCTCCAGAGTAGCTAGGATTATAGCCATGAGCCACTGATACCTGGCTTCAAACAGGCCCTTTTAAAGGATCATGGAAAAACAAGGCGGCACCCACTCTACATCTCCTTGGACTACACATTTTAGCAGCTCCAGGCTGCACTGGTTTGGGGGCACCTGTACTGTGCCAGGGGTTTATTGCGTTGCAGACATCTAAATGCCCTAGCCTTTTTTCTTTTTCTTTTTTTTTGCAGTACTGAGGCTTGAACTCAGGGCCTTCACCTTGAGCCACTCCACCAGCCCTATTTTTGTGAAGGGTTTTTTCAAGATAGGGTCTCTTGAACTATTTGCCCAGGCTGGCTTTGAACCACAGTCCTCCTGACCTCTGCCTCCTGAGTAGCTAGGATTATAGGCATGAGCCACCAGTGCCCAGCCTAACCTTTCTTTTTAAATGTGATAAAGTTAAGTCTTTTTGACCCTGTGCTTGGAAAATTGGTTCAAGTTGACTATGAGACATAAGCACAGTAAACTGTGGGAGAAGTTTGATCCTTAGGAAAAGTAGGGAACTGTGGTCTAGAAACAAGAGGTAAAAGTGAAACTGGCTTATTCTGCTTCATTTGGTGGACTTGGAGTCATTCCAAATGGCTAGTGGCTGGGAAGTCCTTGAGAACTGGGTTTTCTCCCTGATTCTCATCAAAACAAGAACACACAACCTCCTATGAGGCTTCAGTCAGCGTTTTTTTATAAAGTGAGGTCATTCAAGGAGGGTAGAAAGTTAGGTAATTGAATACAAAGAGGTATCTCATTAAAACCGTGTCCATGCCTGCCTCCCTCCTAATCCCCAAAGGGGCCATCAGCAGTATCTCACTCTGATATCCATGGCACCCACCCAAGTAGGTGGGTGCTCAGTAAAGCTTTATGATTTTAACAAGGCCTACCCCTCTGCCTTCGGCAGCTACACCAAATTGGAATTTTCCAAACATGACTTACCTGATATTCCAATGGCGGGAATGTGTCATCCTCCCAACTCCAGTTACTACAGATCTCCTGATCTCAGCCTGAGTTGGAGAGCAGCTGGGGAACTTGGCACTTGGTAATTGCCGCTGTTCAGGTGTTCATCAGGTTGCAATGTACCTGTTTATGTTTCTCCTGGATGATGAGCTGCTCTCCAGACAGGGGACATCCAGATTGTCATTAAAATGTCTGCTGAGTGAGTTGTGTTCCTTGTGGAATTACTGCGTACAACATGTAAATCTAGTTCCTCGACTGAGGAGAAATTCACTGTTAGCATGGAGATCTAGCCCCTCAGACCAGGGCTATCAAAGACTTATTTTCTGCCAGTCCTGTGTTGGGAGCAGCTGTTCTCCCTATCTGTTATCTTGAGGCTTTTCCAAGCAATTCCTCATGGAGGAATTTTACAAGTTCCTCTGGGCCTGAACCATAATTCTTAAAACTTGGGAGCCATTGGTGGCCAACTTCCATCATGTGAGTCTTTGGAGAACAGAGATGAGCAACAGTTTCCTAGGCTTGCTAGTACACTTCAGTCCCAGGTCCATTCAGTGAGAAATCCCAGCCCTTCCAGTAAAATCCTCTTTCTGATTAAATGTTGAGTATCTCCTACTTGCAAGTGAAAGAATTAACTAATACCAGTCCCCATCTGGGTTAATCTCCCATATGCCTTCATGGATGCTGTGAGGGGCCATAATTCCTTTCCAAATCTCCAACTTTAGTGGTTCCTCCATTATTTATGTCTTTCAGATATCCTTAATAATGAGACCTACTGTTCACCATGAAAACGTGAACTCTCCACATTCCACTCCCCACCCTGACTCCAGAGTCACAGTGTGACCACCATAATTAGTTTCCATCCCTCATAAGCAACATAGTTGGACCTGGATCTCATCCACTTCTGCCTTCTGAGGGACTTTCCTCCATCTGTTATTCCTTCTCTCTCCTTTTCAATTTATTGGCAGCTTGTGGAGTGGCTCAAGTAGTAAGAATGCCTGCCTAGATTTATTGGCTCGGAGTCCTCTTGTCCTGAACACACACTCTAGCCTATAAACATGCTAAGATCCCACTATACATTTTTTGGTTTTGGTGGTACTGGGGTTTGAACTTGGCCTCACCCTTGCTAGGCAAACACTACCACCTGAGCCAAACCTCCAACTCTTTTCAGATAGGTCTTGTGCTTTTTTGCCCTGAGCCAACCTTAGAAGACTGCAATCTTCCTACCTATGCCTCCAGTATAACCCAGATTACAGGCATGAGGCACTGCACAGAGCCCAAGATCTGGTTTTGAAACTATAAAAATTTCCCTCTGGCCTCTGTCTCAATCTCCTGTTTTAAGCTAACTTTAAAGCTTAAGCTAGCTTTAAGCTAACTTTTATCTCTGCCTCCTGAGTAGCTAGGACTACAGGTGTGAGCCACCAGCACCCGGCCTTCAGCTAAATTTCATGAAGTAGGGTACTTTTACTGTTTCCACTTCTGGTTATTCTTTAGCCAACTGCATTATTAATAGTCACTTGACTTTTTATGGTGTGTGAAGCACTGCCATGTTAAGTACTTTATATACATTCCAATCTAATGTCTGCGTAAGAACTCTGAAGAGCTGGGCATGGTAGCCAGATTAGTCAGGAAGCTGAGGCACTAGAATTTCAAGTTTAAGGCCAGCCTAGGCTGTGTTCAATCTCCAGTGCTGAAGTACATGCTAGGAGATAGTCCTCCATGTGTCTCTTACATTCCCACACACCCTGCTGCATATGGCAAAAAAGGTTAGCCCTATGCTTAGCAAGTTCTCACACTTGAGCCAGTTCACAGAGCCCTTCCACTTTTTTTTTTGGCCACATTAAGCAGGCACTGTACTTCTCGGCTACATTCTTAGCCCTAGAGCCCCTGGAATGAAGAAGGGCTGGGTCCCCTTGGCAAAAACAGAAAATATATTGCAGATTTTCCTATCCTTTCCCAAATGTGCCTGCAGCCATTCGCCAGGGTGACTGAGCATGGAGAAGTAACTAAAATTTTTAGTGATTACTGGGCATTGGATCTAAACTGGCTTTAATTCTAGATCCAAAATGTCACTACAACTCTCCAGGCACAGTGGATCTTGGAGATCGGGTGTGCACAGGAAAGGATTTATCACAGCAGGCTTCAGCTGCTCAAACCCTGCTCCTTCCAAAGAAATGGTCATCTTCAGGATTGGCCCTTGCCTGCTCATGGGAAGTAACTCTTGAGCCCTTGGAATATTGTATCTGATTAGAGTGCTTCTGTATGTTGGGGGGTCTTGTGTCATGCCATGCCAATCTGACCAGGTAAGTTTATCTAATATGATTTGTGATGCCCGTTTTTGTTCTGGGAAGCTGGGCTCTAAGGAGCTGAGGTTGGTCATATGGGTACATCAAACCTCTGTAACTGACCCTTAGTAACTCTGGACACCAAGGCTTGGGTAAACTTCCCTGGGTGGAGGACTGGGGGAATGGCTCCAGTGGTAGAGTGCCTGCCCAGCAAGCGCAAGGCCTTTAGTTCAACCCCCAGTATTGCCAAAAGAAAGAAAGAACTCTGGTTGGAAACAATTTGCATAAGTTGTCACAAGTAATTCCTGGGAGAACTGAGCACAGTCCTGGGCAACTCCACTGGAAAAGGACACCTCAAAGTCTGTGCCTGGTTTTTCCTGGATTTTGACCCATGCCCTTTTCCCTTTGTTGATTTTAACCTGTATCCTTTTGCTTCAATGAACCATAACAAAAAAAGAAAGTGTGAGACACTGAGTTCAAGCCCTAGTGCCACCAAAAAAAAAAAAAAAAGAAAAGAAACAAAAACAAAACAAAAAAACAAAAAACAAAGAAAAGGAAATGAGCAAAGAACATTTTGTTGTGGGATATTCAAGCAAGGACATGGGATACCAAAGCTTTTCGGGAAGTAATGCTTATTATCATGCCAGCAGCGATTCAGCAGATTCACTTCCAAAGACTGAGCCCTAAGAACAGAGGGGACTTGCCTTATATCCCCTTGCAAGCAGGTTACAGAAGCAAGAAGCAAAGTCTAACCCACGTATGGGTACTCGTAATTTCATTGGCTACTTCATCCTCAGGTCTACTGACCGTTTTCAGGCTAAGTTTCCTTAAGTTTCAGATTCCTGCCATGTCTTCCCCTCCTCCCCACTACATAATTCCCCCCTTTGATACTCGGACCCATCTAGGGTCAAAGAGCATCATCCTGATTTAGGGGTTTGTATTTCCACAGCATCATTACATGAGTGGCTGTTTTTCTTTCTATAGGGGCCTCCATAATGGTCCTGATAGACTATAATACCAAGGGAACCAGGCAGGGTAGTATCAAATATGTTCCCAAGACAAGAGCCACCGCACCTATCAGGGTCTTGAATCTGCCCAAGGCAGGGAACCAACCTCCAAACAGGTCATTGGGATCCCATCCTCTCCAAGTCTGGACAAAGACATGGGCAAACTTTCTCATTCTATCTGTGATTTCTTCTATGACCTTCCCTTCATAATCAATCTGAAAACAGCAGTCACTTAGATTGAATTTTCCACATACACCTCCCTCGGAGGCAAATAGTCTAAGTAAGGCTAGGTGGTTTTGGTATATTGCATTGCGTACCTTTGTATGCTGCTTGACCAGTATGTCAAGGCCCTTGCAGTTTCATTAGTTATAATTTAGCTGAGTAATGCAGTTGAGCATATAAATTGGGGTGCGATAACCACAAGATCCATCTTCTGCCCAAGTGGCAGGACCATAATACTGAATGATTCGCTCGGGAGGCCGCTT